CCATTGCAAGCGAACTGGAGTTTGCTACAAGGCTCTGGTGGAATGCAGTCTGTAACCTGCCCTCAGCTGGCCATCGTCACGTCCAGGTTATTCCCCGCGGCCTGCGCGGGCCGCAAAGATGGTGCTGTGGAAGAAAAACTTCAGGCCAACACCCCACACTTTCTAACGTCAGCAGCCGCACAATGACACCCCTCTGCGTGCAGCATCTGGGAGATGCACTCGACACAACACTTGTTATATACATATATATCTCCTCATTGGTCTCTGCCGCCGCCTCTGCGCTTACTTGCTGGAGATGCTCTCTGCCCTTTGGGGCGGCGGCCGCCCCCGCCCCTAGGCTGCCCACCCGGGAGCGGCGCTGCGGGGCGGAGGGGGCGCGAGACGCGAATTCTGAGGCGCCGCTCGCGAAAGGCGAGGCCGCGGAGGAGGCGGGAGCAGTGCGAGGGGGCCCCGCGTTGCGGCGGCGGGGCGGTGGGGGCGGTGGGGCAAGGGCGGAGGGGTGTGGCGGCCTGGGCGACAGGCGGCGCCGACGCCCCGGTTGCGGTGAGCCCCGCGGCGGACAGCCCTGCGATTGCCGCGGAGGCGGGGCACGAGCCCCCCGTTTCAGCGTCAAACAAGGACCTTCAGCGAGCGGCCTTGGGTAACAACGCGTCTCTTGGCGAGGAGTATTTGTTGGGGCGGCGAGGGGCGGCGTGCGCAGAACCCGGCCGAGGTTGTGGCAAACCCGCGGCCCGCGCCGGGTGCCGCGCCTTTGCACTAGCCATCTTTTTGAAGCCGTTTGCACCGCACGCGGCGCAGCTTGGCCCGGCCCGAGCATTTCGGCCCCTGCGGGCATGCCGAGGCGCGCGCGGACACGGCGCGAGTTGGCGCGAATGGGGCGACGAGGCCCCTGCGCGGGGCCCGGTCTTGCAACAGGGGGGCGCGGGGCCCCGCCAACAAGCTTGTCAAGAACCGTTGGGGGGCCGCCGTGGGTGCCCGCACACCCTCCAACGACGACGCGGCGCAAGATCCCATTGTGTTTGTCGCTGCGCCCCGCTCGGGCTGGAGGGCGGTTGCCCAGCGCCGCTGGGTGAGGGGGAAGGGCGCCGCGCCCACCACCACAACCGCCCACCCGCGACGGTAGGATCCATGGCGTGCGCCCTCTCCGACCCTGCCCGCGAACATTCGGGGCCTGGGAGCGCAGAGCCCCCGCCAGGCCGAGGCTCTGGGGTATTTTAACGCCCGCCGTTCGGCACACACAGAGCCCCGCGGGGCGGGGGTCTTGCCGCGCATGCTCGTGGGCGAGGAGTCGCGCGGCGGGTCCAGGGTGGCCCTGGTCACGGACCACCCCCCGGCCGTACACACGCAGAGGCGGCCCAGCGGGTTTGGAGGCATCGGCTGGGGACACGCCCTCAACCAGCTGTTTGAGTACGTGTTTGGCATGGAGCACAAAACGCAGGGTTACGGTCACCTCCTTCCACCTCGCTGGCGCCGCCGAGCCGGCGGATGAGCTCTCGCGCAGCTTTGGTGAAGGACCGGGTGCTCACCACACTGCGGCCGCGAGGGTGGGCGGCACGAGTTTCCCTCCCCTCCGCAGCGCCTTCCCCACGCCGTGCGAGGGCCTCTTCTCCAAAGGAGCTGTGGGTAGCGGGCCTTCACAGTAGGGGGTGCTGTGTGTTTTTTTTCCGACCATAGTCGGTACAAGCCAGCTGGGGTATGAGGGGCGGGGCCATGGACCACACCCGCCAGCACTATGGGGGAATGAACGCGCTCGAACGAGTGGTTATGCCACGCGCCTACAAAACAAACTGCTGTTGGCATGCAGTCCAACGTGGTGCCGTCTGGGTGGGGCACGCTTCGGCTGCTCCAGCCACGACCTAGACTCAAGTTCTCCTTCCCCCACCTTTCTCGCTCCTTTCCCCACCGCTTCTACCTAGAATGACAACAGACCCGCATGCGCACACCCGCGTCAACCTCGACCGCGCCGTGCATCTCTCGACCCAACGTGTCGACAAAAACAGATCAGCGCCTGCTGTCTTCCTCAAAGTAGCAGCCTCCGCTGTCGGGAAAAGGGAAAAGGAAAGAAAGCGCCGCGTTGGCTCGGGTGGGCAAAATCAAACTTGCGCGTATGCCTCGCAGAAGCAGGCGCCCACGTGTGAAATGCAGGTTACCTACAAAGGCGCGGCGGGTGCCCTTCCGCAGGGCTTGGCCGGAGGCGGTGGCAGCAGCAGAGCCGCCATCACACTTGCCTTACCGTTCTACACGCAGAGTGGAAGAGCATAAGCGGGCGAGAGGTGGTAGCAGCAACATATCGTCGATGGAGGCACGGGCAAGAAGCGAGCCAGCCGGCGGAGGAGCACTCCACGCAAACCAAACAGCACCAACAACAACGGAGGAGAAAGAGCGAAACCAGCACACACACACACACACACACACACACACAGAAGACCCAAGTACCAACAAAAAGAAGGAGATTTCGCGGCACTGTTGGCCTCCCCACCCGCGCGTGGCTCAGCGAATGTCGCCGGTGCATCTGAGTTGCTCCGAAGGAGGAATGCGTGACGACGGCAACAATCCTAAATTTCATTTTTCAAGCACAAGCCCGTCGTGCCACGCCAGCCTCAGTGACTTTGCCTCCGAAATGTCTCCCTCCAGCGTCTGCACCGACACTGTTCCGGCCGACCCAAAGAGGAAGCAGACCAGCGGGAAGGCGGCAAAGGGAAGCTCCACGCCCTGTCCACGCTCCGGAAAGCTGTTGGAGACGAACACGTAGTGAAAGCATCTACCGCAACGCGTCAGCCACGCATGCACGTTCTCTAGCGCCGAAAGCGTCTGCGCCGTCTGACACACCTCCCCAGCATCTGTAAAGCTGTCGTCGTCGATAAGCACAAGCGCCGGGGCTTCATCTGGCGTGCTCCATGCGGCGACCTCACGGAGGGTATCAGCAAGGCTATCGACGTACAAAAACTCCATGCGAAGGAGGGCGGCCTCGTCAAGGTCCCCCAAAGGAGTGAATGGGCGGGGCATTTTAGAATACAGCACGTGCTCTTGGCACAGTACCATCACACGACTCCCGTCTCGCACGGTGCTCACGGCCGCCTGGAAGGCAAACGACGTCTTTCCACTGTGCCGCGCGCCTCGAATGAGGCAGCCATGCCCGCATACATGACGCCAGGGAGGCGCCTCATCGCGCGGGAGAAATAGGGTGACATCCATCGACACGGTCTCCACCCCTGACGCTTATTCGTTTGTGTGTTTGAGTGCGGGTCAATAACAGAGAGAGAGAGAGAGAGAGAAACCGAGGGGGGAGCCGAAAGAGCGTGCGCGGGCGGCAATAAACCAACCGCCAGCCGCGTGAATTAGAGACACACGTAAAGCCACTCAAAAAGTGGCTACGAAAGACGCCATCGTCGTGAAGCAGTTGGCAAGGCCCACGCCGTAGATCAACCCGCATCCGCAGCGTCAGTCGCACGCCCCAAGCTTTTTCTTTTTTTTGACTACCACCAACCACCAACAAAACAACAACAAAAAAAAAAAGAACCGCCGTGCAGAACACCGTGGCCGCATTCGAAACGTTTTACGGTGCCGCAGGACGGAGCACAACCAGAGGGACACCGTGCCTCATTTTTAGCTTCATGTCTCTGTGCGTCCGTGTGCTCCCTCATCTTGGGCCCACCTCTCACCGTCGCATGCGTACAAATACGCGACATCTTTAACAGATGCACAAAAATGTCGCTGGTGCACTTGTCTCCGCCGTCACGTGGAACTACTACGCCGTTAAAAATAAGAAACAACAGGTATGAGTATGCCTGTGGGGGAATGACGCAGCTGCAAGCGTAGCCCCACAAGGCGCCTGTATGAAGAAACAAAACCCACTTCCAGGCGAGGGGGAAGTGACCATGCTGGTGAAGGCCGCGCAGTCCACACTGAACCGACGCCAAGCCACCGGCACCAGCAGCCTGAGGGACGACCACGTGTCGTCGTCGTGGCGCCACCACGCCTTTCCATTGGCGATGTGGTGCAGGCAGCTGTCGTTGAAGCACACAATAATAATAAATCACCTGCCGAAGGCATTCGGCGTGTCGTTAACATCCGCTGGGAATTGATAACAACAGCGGCCGCTGCAACCCGTCACGAATGCCAACCGCTCCTTCCCACCCTCTGCCTCTATGCCACCTGGTCTGCCTGTGCGTGTGTGTCTGTGGGAGACCACTCGCCGTTGCACTTTTCTTTCAACGCCGCTCCCAAAAACACATGACAGGTCGCTGAACACGAACGAGCGCACAGCAGGCGCGGTCCCCCGCCGCAGACAATTCAAAACGTGGAAATGCATGCACAAAGGAAAGTTCTTCGGCGACAACATCAACAGCGCCATCAGCAATGGGAAATAGGAAGCAGAAAAGAAGTAATAAGCTCCCACACAAACACAGAGAAGCATGCATCCTTCCGCAGGCAGGCGTGAAAATCATGCGCGTCGCACAGCCACCCGGCAGTCCTTCATTCCTCAACTTTCTTTGCCGCAGCTGCCGCCGGCTTCAGTAAAGGGCAATAAGGTGGCACAGCCGCACAGTATCGCACCCCCACCAGACCACTCACTTCGTCAGTCTTGCTAACATACGCCTGCCTGACGGATACCAAATTTTCCTTCAGCTGCCTTTCTGTTATTCCCCCTCTTTCGCCCCACTGCTGCCACGTCTGTCCCCATCGGCATCGTCATGGCGGTCTTCCCCGCCACGCCGCACGAACAGTCCTTTCGTGAAGAAACCGCTTTGCGTCCTACCCGCACGCACGCACGCACGCACGCACGCACGGCAGCGGCGGAAAGGCAATACACGAGGAGTGGGCGTGTGTCTCTGCCTCGCCACACGCCCACTGTGGAAAGCATAACGGCAACAAGTGCGCAACGGAATAGTAATGGGGGCGGCAAACAAACAAACATATATATAAAGAAATATCAATCGCGACGAAAACAAACAAAAACAAACAGTCAAGCATGCACACACACGCGTGTGTGTGTGTAATATACACATATGCTACAAAGTTGCGTCTGGCTCCTTATGAGGCGCGTAGAGGAAGCCGCATTTACGTCCTGAGGGACGGGGGCATGAGTAATCCACAGTGCCCACAACAGACGTTTTTTGTTTTTAAACAAAACAAAAAAATCCACACGGATCAAAGGCCAATTAGTAACTAAATAAATGCGATGGACAAAGAAACACACACACACTGAAGTAAATGCAAGAAGCCGCTCATGAACACAGCATCGCGTTACCGCCACCAGTCGACACGGTGGGGTGGACGGCTCCCTTGATTTCCCCTTCATTCCTTTTCCTATCGCTTGCTTCCTCCCTTCGCGCTCACATGCACCACCACCGCCCTTTCACTTGCAAAAAAAAAAGTCCAGAAGGTTTTGCACCGCAACCGACGGTGCACCTGCTGCCGCGGTCCGTTGCTGCTGCGGGTTTGCGGTGGCACTATGACTTGCCTTCGTCCTGGTGTTCTTAAGCTCCGCCGCCTCATCGATCATTGGCGTGCAAATGTACGCGCGGAAGCGCTGCTCCACAGCCAAGAGCACACTCCGCCTCAGATCCCCGTCGCGAATGAGCTGCGCCGCAGCGCCCCTTTGCTGCCTTCGTCGAATCACCTGATGTCGTGGGACTCGAAAAGTGAAGCGGCACGCCTGCGCCGGAGGGCATTGGCAGGGCACAATTTTTACTGCTGAACGTATTGCCCCCCCGCCGTTGGGCACAGGCGCATTGCTGCCTTCATCCTTCGCATCCTCCCAGCTGTCGACGGATTTTGGCTGGATTTTGGTGGAGTCAAGCGGCATCTTTCGCGAAAGCTCTGGGGGCAGATTTTCAAGAAGATTGGCGTCACAAGGGGGCATTGGTGGAAGCTTACTCCGCCGTACGGGAAGCAGACTGATAGTAGCAGGCGATGGGGCCCTCGTTGTCTCAATGAGCGGCAGCGACATGCCCACACCGACCGCAGCATGTAAAGCCGGAGGGGCAAATATCGCCAGATTTCCTTCAACTGCCGGTTTCACAAGTGCTGCACTTTCCTCGAAGTCTGAAAACAATTGGCTTTGGGCGCTGAAGGAAAACAGCTTTGAAAAGTTGTGGTCGCCGCCTAAGAGGAAAAGAACGTGCGGAGGAGGAAGAAGGCCGCCGTCACTAAAAGCTTGTCCAGGGCACTGCTCACAAAGAGACGACATCGCCTGTCTCGGGCCCATGGAGCAGCACCACCCGGGGTTTCTTCGACATTCCACCCGTCTGCATGTAACCTTGAAGAATATGCCCCACCAGCGCTTCCAAGTAATCCCCTGAGACGCCCACCCTGCTCGAGGCACGCTGCTTAGATGCCTCTCGGCTCGACATGGTTCCGTGGTGTGAGCTGGCCCTTCCCAGCAGAGCGCTTTCCGGCCCTGTCTGGGATCGTTTATATGTGATCCTTGAGATCAGCGCCAACGCCCGCATCCACTCCGTCTTCTCGTGTTCCGCAGCATTGGTCCCCTTAGGAGCAATGGAGCCCTCAAACGGCTTTGTGCCGTATATGACAGAAACAAAATCCAGCACGTTTTGTCGGACGCCCACCGTAGCTGCTCCTTTCAGCGCACCAAGTGGCACATTGGCCCCAGGCCTGCCGCTTGTGGTGCCCTCCTATGTGCCAGCCAACGGCAAAATGTCTGTTCTCCACGTCACGGTGGTCCTTCTGTTGCCGGTGCCCTTGGGGCTCGTTCTGCCTCGGTGCACCGCCTTTGTTTCCAATCCCCGCTTCCACACCGATTTTGGCTCCTGGTCGAACGCAATGGACGCCAAACCGCCTCAGTTCATCTCTTCTACAAACACGCACGGGGTTCAAATAACAACGAATAAAAAAAATGTGAAGTCAGCCGGAAAAAAAAAGCACGCCACCGTTCCGCAATGTACGCTCCTTCTTCACACACACACACACTTCCAGCGGGCACGCCCACGTGCAATGCCAGTGTGGCAAAGAGAACAAGAAAGACGCCGAAGAGATAAATAGAAAGAAATAAAGAAAGAGAAGGCAAAGACAATGCCTATGCAGCCCACTTTGTCATGCACGCACGCACATATATTACACAAACATCCACACGCCTGTGCGTCAGTGCGTGCGAGTGCGCACGCCGCAGCTCGGGACCCACGGGCAACACTAAAATCAAAGGCACACTCAACTTTCACCGCCCACTGACGCGACAGAAAATTAAAACACAAACAGAAAAAAAAAACATGGAAGAAAAAAACAATGAGAAGCAGCGGAAGAAGCAACTCCCCATAAAGAATGGCACCAACGAAAACTAATAATAAAAACACCAAGCACAATAATCATAGAGAGTCTTCAATACTTCATTCACTTGATTGAGCAGAGCGGCACACCTCAATCACCATCTTCCCTAGCATAAACAGCGCCTTGGCCCGCCGCTCCCTCTTCTCCGGGGGCACAGAGTTGTCATACAAAATGAGGCGAGCTGCACGCAGAACAGTTCGCCGCACGTCTCCCCCACAAAGAGCGAGTAACACGCCCATCCAACCCTCCTCGTCCCGTGTGTGCCGTACCGCGCTGAGCGCCGATTTCGCCACATCCGCCATCTGTACAAGAGCGGACCACTTAGAGGTGACAAAAATATCCAATTGCCGCTGGAAAGAACTCTCATTCAGATGCTGACGAGCGGCAGCGATGTACTGCTGACCCACAATAGACATCAACTTCGGACCCATTCGTGTGGAGACGGCATCGCGTATTGCAGGCAACGCCGCATCTAATCCAACCTCCTCGTCGACAAAACAGATGAGGCGCTGCGCCAGGCGCAGCGTCCGCCGCCGCTGAAACTCCTTCTTTAGCGGCTCCGTGATAAACATGTTGGGCATAAAGTACAGCGCATACGACAGCCGTCCGACAAAGACCTCCATAAAGGTTGCCCCAAGCGCCTCCTCCAGCTGCGTGAACGAGGACGCATTGTTGGGGATATCATCGACGGCACCGTATTTGTCGTAGTGTGCCCGGCGCCCCTCATCGGAGAGGACGGCGTTCGCCTCCAAAAGCTCCTGAAAGCGCAGGGTCGCCTCCGCGTTGTTCGGGTTTTTATCCGGATGCATCGCGAGGGCCATACGGTGAAACGCCCTGCGAATCTCCGCCGCCGTCGCCGTCCGTGGGACGCCGAGGATGACGTAGTAGTCTTGCGAGGACGGAGGGGCTGCCCCAGCGGTGGCGTCGTCCCCCGCGGAGGATGTTGTCTTAGGCGTCTGCCTAAACGCTTCATGCGCCCGAGCAAAGAGATCGTCATCGCCCGCCGGCAGCTCTGCAAAGGCGGAGTCGAGGTGCACCTCCACCCAGCGCCCCTCCTGACTGTCCCAGTACCGCTCGCCCTTCGCCGCCTCCACCACCGCCTCCTTCGTGTGGCACACGCCTTTCGCAACCTGCACCGCCCCCTGCACCACGCCGTACGTTGTCATGCCAAGAAGGGCGGCAACCCCCATGGCGGCCCCTTTGGCAGCTCCCACCGCTCCGTCTGTACGCCACTTCGCAACAGGAATCCCCACGAGGCCCCCAAGACCGACGCCCACACCGACTGCAATGTTTTGCGCGGCATCGGATAACCCGTCTAGCGCGTGCTTCGGTTCCCCCGACGCAAACACGCCCCCAAGCAATGCCCCCGCATTCAACTCACCGCCTTCAGCACTCGTAATCCCCCGCGTTTCGCGCTCAGGGTTTGTCCCTGTCCGATGCGACGTCATACTTTTCCCGCGCCGTGCCACCGCACCCTCAGGGAACAGGCACAAACACGCGGCAAAAAAAAACAGAATACTCTAAAACGTACTTTCCACCAACCAGATGTGAAGAAAAAGAAAGAAAAATATATACATGTCAACACGTTTCATACAAGCAAAAGAAAAACAAGTCTGCGCAGTGCACACACCCCGCCATCTACGCCAACACACATCAATTCAGATATATATATGTGCACACGTATCTGTCTGTAGAGGTATATTACCTTCCACAACTAAAAGTCATGACCTCAACGAGTCCATCCAGCAATAAAACGCAACATCAAAGCCGACGCAAACAATTTTTAACCATCAAAAATGAAAAAAAAAACACACACAAAATCTAACAAAAAAATAACATAATCTCCGCAGCAACAACTAAAGCAGCAAACAAACAAAAAAATGTTTAAAAAAAAACAAATAACATAAGTTCGACACACAAATGGAAAAAAAAACAGAAAGTGAACCTCACAATTCACCTGGCACCTTCAAGTAGAAAAAAATATATATTCACCACTACCAAAAGCAATCAAAAACAAATCCTCCCCTCATTCGCCTGTACCTTTGGGGCAAAGGAAAAGTATCATTCCCAAAGCGGCGCATCAACAGTTCGTACTCGCTCTCCCAAAGGTGGTGCACAACAACGGAGCCTTGGGATACAGGTCCAAGATGGCTACCGACGTGAACGTCATGAAAGCGGCACGGACCCTCCTTAACGTACACCAACTCCTTGTAGCGGATCTCGCGCAGCACGCGACCCACCATCGCATCCTCGTGGTTCATGTTCAAGCTGAGAAACTCCGGCTCCCTCTCCACGCTGTACGGCAGACAAACCAGTCGCCGCAGCGGCTCATAGGAGACAAACTGCTGTGCAACGTCCCTCGCCAGCGTCATGCATCTTCCATTCACATAATTCAGAGGCTCACCAGGGGAATATTTTTCGAGGAGACCCCAGTAAATGCCACGGCGCGGCAGCGTGCGCAGATCGGCAAGGAACTGCGG